TAGAGTAGAGTAGAGTAGAGTAGAGTAGAGTAGAGTAGAGTAGAGTAGAGTAGAGTAGAATAGAATAAGGGATGGGAAGGGAAAGAATAGAATAGAATAGAATAGAATAGAATAGAATAGAATAGAATAGAATAGAATAGAATAGAATAGAATAGGAATTCTTTACTGGGCAAGTGTGATTGGACCCACAAGGAATTTGTCTTGGTGCAAATGCTCTCAGTGTACATAAAAGAAAAAATACATTCGTCAAGAATCATCAGGTACAACACTTAATGATGGTCATAGGGTACAATAAGCCATCAAATCATACTAGGAAACAAGTCAATATAAATCATAAGGATACAAGCGACAAAGTTACCGTCATGCAGTCACAAGTGGGAGGGGATGGGTGATAGGGAGTGATGAGAAGATTACCAGTAATAGTAGTGCAGAGTTTGTAAATAGTTGGACAGTGCTGAGGAAATCATACGCTTAGCAGAGTGATGGCCTTTGGGAAAAAAAACTGTCCTTGTGTCTAGAAAACTGCTGCATTAGGTATATCCGCCGCCTTGAGTTAATAATAAAGACGCAAATGTAAATAAATAATATATCTGGAGAACTAGAATTAGATGTTCCCTGCAGTTGCCCTAGAATCTTTCTGCTTAGTCAGAGAGCTGGAGGGATCCAGGGAAAAAGGTGATGATCATGGGATCATCGAGCCTGGGATTTAGTTTCTAGCATCTGCTGATCATGGGTTGAACTTTCTCTGGTTATAAATAGAAATTGGTGATATTGAAGCTGACCTGAAACCTGAGTAGGGTTGGGAGAAAACTCCCAGGATGTTCTGACCAAGGTTTATAAAGACACTAACAAACATACATTAGTCCCACAAACCTTTTCTCTTTATTTCAATTAGTTATACAAGGCCAAACGGGCCACAAATTCAACACAGAGCTTCAGGTTTCAAACCAACCAGTACGAACAAAGTTGCTTCCTGCAAAGACTCCTGTCCCTTTGCTCCTCCTTTAGGTCTTATGGGAGGGGCCAATCACCTCCAAGCCTTACTCCCTAGTTCGCCCCTTTTGTCTTAACCATTCTTGTCTTCTGGCAGTTCTATGCACACACGGAGGGCTCAGTTGGACTTCTTAGCCTTGTGGGCAATTTCAGTGACTATCCAAAAGTTTCCGGTGGGTGTGTTGAGACATAGTGCCCATTTCCCAGAAAGTTGCTTGATGCTTGAGTCCACAAGGAAATTTGTTGACACCCCATTTATGTATCTTTTATCCCCTGGAACAAGTGGATGCAAATGTTTGGACTGAAGAGGCCTGCCTTATCTTTGCTTTTTGCTCTGCCTTATCTTTTTTTGCTCTTTTCATTTCTTTCAATGCCAGGGTTCCAAGTAATAGATCCAGGAACTAGAAGGGCTTCTGTGGGCTGCAGATAGATTTTTGGAGACTGGGATGGGGGGCGGGGGGCGGGGGAGAGAGAGAGAGAGAGAGAGAGAGAGAACAGTAAACATTTAAAGATGCAATAAGATATGGATTGGGCAACATTAAGAGTGGAGTTTTCAGGCACAATATGTGCAAAAAGTGCTGAAATGCATAATTGCACAAATTTGTCTATGCGCCATATATATCTGGCCATAAGCTTCTTTTTTTTTTTAACCTCCTTTCTCCTTTTTATGCATGTATCCCATAAAGAGATCTAACTGCTGCTTAAATGCGTGTTTATAACTCTTAAGAGACAGATCTCCACCTCATAAATGCGAATTGCTTCCCTCTTTAGTTAACTGTTCTGGCTTCCAGGCCTGACTTTCCTCTTGAAAAGTAAAGGCTGCTTCAGGTCACCCCTTCTCTTCCCCTCTCCTTGCCCTTCCTCTTTTTGGATAGCCTCAAATGGGACAGCATCCGGGAGCAGCTGGATCAATTTGCAAAGATCGCCAGCAAGTCCAAAGGTGGTCGGATCGGGATTGAGGAGTTTGCTAGCTATCTGAAGTTGCCCATCTCGGATGTCTTGCAAGAGCTGTTTACTCTCTTTGACAGAGTAAGTACCGTGTCCGCTCCTGCCAAGAGCAAAACAAAACGAGCATTGTAGTGCTTGCAGAAATGAAGCTCATGGGAAAGAGGTGGGGGGGGGGAGAGAGAGAGAAACACACACACAGAGGGAGGGGAGGGAGAGAGAGACCGAGAGAGATCAATCTTGTATGTGTGTATAAAGAAAAGAGAATTGCAATATGTAGTATAAAACTGACGAGAAGTTCTGCAGTGTTGAGCTGGAGGTGGGCGCTAGGATTTGTAGAAGAGCCAACAAACCAGAGAAAAGACTGAAGAGGGAGGGGTTGCTTGAGAAGTCTTCCCCCCTTCCAAGTTTGCAGAAGGAAAATTCCACCTCCGCTCAGCTTGGGCGAGGCCCCGTGCCCACAATAAATTCCAGCTGTGGAAAACATGACGTGTGCGGACATGAAGGATCGCTATTTCCTTTGGCAGCAGAATCCGTTCTTGCAGAACACGCCCAGCTCGGCTCTCTTCACACACACACACAAACACTCAGAGCTTCTGAAAGACGCTGCAGGTTCTGGGGCTCTCCACCATGTTCCTTGCTCAAGCTTTGCTAGATGCCGCCACCAGTGGTGGTGGTGGCAGCGGTGGTGGTGGTGGAGGAGGTGGTGGAGGTGCCGGAGCCTTCCTGAAGAACTTGACAGGAGGAGGAGGAGGAGGTGGTGGTGGAGGAGGAGGAGGTGGAGGTGCCGGAGCCTTCCTGAAGAACTTGACAGGAGGAGGAGGTGGTGGTGCTGGAGGAGGAGGAGGAGGAGGAGGAGGCAGTGGTGGTGCTGGAGCCTTCTTGAAGAACTTGACGGGAGGAGGTGGTGGTGGTGCTGGAGGTGCCCTCATACAAGGCCTTGGTGGACTCTTGTCTGGAGGAGGAGGCGGCAGTGGTGGTGGTGGTGGAGGAGGAACAAGTGGTGGTGGCGGTGGCAGCAAAGCCACCAACGTTTTGGGTCTTCTCGGAGGTCTGGTGAACATCATCAGTGAAGCCGCAGCCCAGTACAAACCAGAGCCCCCGCCAGCTCCTCGCAGCCATTTTGCCAATGTGGAAGCCAACGAAAGTGAGGAACTACGCCAGTTCCGAAGGCTCTTTGCCCAACTGGCCGGCGATGACATGGAAGTGTGTGCCACCGAGCTGATGAACATCCTCAACAAGGTGATGGCCCGCCATCAGGACTTGCAGTCCGAAGGCTTCAGCCTGGACACTTGCCGGAGCATGGTGGCCGTCATGGACAGCGATGCCACGGGCAAGCTGGACTTCTACCAGTTCAGGTATCTCTGGAACAACATCAAGAAGTGGCAGTGCTCCTTCAAAGAGTACACCGGCCCGGCGGGGAGAATCGAGATGAGGAATCTGCCCGCGGCTTTCAAGGCCGCCGGGTTTAACCTCCATGAGCAGCTCTACGCCCTGATGATCCGCCGTTATGCTGACGAAGACGGCACCATGGATTTCAACAACTTCATCAGCTGCTTGGTCCGTCTGGATGGAATGTTCCGGGCCTTCAAATCCCTGGACCGACGTGGTGATGGAAAAGTCCAGATGAATATTGAAGAGTGGTTGCAGCTCACCATGTACTCTTAAAACAAGCAAGAGCTGGAAAGACAAAGCAGTGGTTTGCTCCACCTTGGACTGTACCATTTATGGGGGGATTGAGGGAAGAGGGCTAGATGTAAAATTGCTTCTGCCAAGACTTGAATTAAACCTTCCTGCTTACAGTGAGTGCCTTTTGGCTGATAGCACCTGTGGGTTATTGAGATTAGCCAACGCATGCATTTTTTAAGAACATTTGCTTATTGCTTATGTTTTGGTTTGTTGTTCATGTCTGTGCCTGAATTCTGCAACAGTATTAAGGTTGTAAACTCATGTTAGCACTGTTGGAAATGTGTGGGAACCTGGGGGTTAGTTCATAGGCAATTAGGAGGAAAACCCAGCATTTTGTTGCAAAATAAAAGATAGCCTACTCTCCTTAGGTTAACGCCTACATTGTGCAAAACGAAGCAACTGTTACTATCATAATTCCAAATTCTCTCCCTCTCTGCTTTAGGAGAATATGTTTTGATGTCCTTTACGTATTTTGTTTCCAATATTGTTCTTATCTTCTCCTCGTAAATTGATATTCCCGGATTCTAAGCCTTGAATAATCTCCCTGGTCTGGTTAAGATAGTTCTTCTTGTGCTTTTTCAAAAGTCTGGCTGACTTTAATTTACAGATGTTTCTGTTGTTGAACATAACCTGGGATCTCAGTTATGCCAGGAGCTCTGGTGTCCTCTGATCAAGATTTCAAACTCATTTTTGAAGGAATAATATGAATGGCTCCCCTCTAGATTCCATATATCTATGTTTCCATCATAGTCAGTTATGGCAATTTGGAGTGGTGGAAATAGCACTCTGAGAGATTTGGAAAACAACACGTTGTGTAAACACAATCAGAGGAAGATGACACCTGCAGCTTCTGGGCTAGCATGTTTTTTGTTGCTTTTGCTGGTTTGTTGAAGAAAGAAATTGTGGCAAAAATAGATCTTTTCTGACTAGTCATTTAAAGGTCTCTCCGTTGTAAAGAAGAGAAAATAAACTTGGATGATAACAAAAGGAGAATATTGTGGGTTGTTTGATTGTTTTGTAGCTATGTGGCCCAAAGTGACAGGGAGTGATATATTGCTAGACCTTTCTTTTTTTCCAAAAAAATCCCTGCTTTATATGTGTGGGTTGACATAAAACTCTTGACCATCTTAAGCTGTGAGCATTTGTGGCAGGTGGAGAAATGAGGCCCTGGATTAAACTTGGTTATTTGTTTTTGACCTGGAAAAATACTTTAGATGTGGTGACTTGGACAGACCCAAAGATGACATCTCTACCTCCTCTGGAACAGATCTTTGAGTAAATCCGGTAGAGATCTCAAAATGTGCTTGTTCTTTCTCACTGGTTTTGATGGGTTCCGTGACTCAAATACTATGCCATTGTGTTGACTTGGTTTGGGGCTTTTCCTGTAGTGAGTTGAGTGTTTTTGGGGTACTGGCCTTCATGCCTTGTTCACCCAACTCTAGTTGGAAAAACACTCTAGTTAAAATAATATGAGAAGCAGCATCTCCAAACCAGCTCAGAGAAAGGGGGCATGTTCTAATTGACAGTTGTGATAGCTGTATCTCTCCTTGGTCAAAAGTTTCAAAGGATAATTTACTGTTCCAGAAAAGTTCCTTGTTTTAGTTGAGGAACCCAACTGGGCAGCTTTCTAGACTCTGGATAGCCAGATCGTGCAGCTGCAGGCCTTATTAAGACTCCGAATGCCCAGGATTATATTAACAAACATTCCTCCTCATTACCTGGTTCTCCCTAAAACCATGTCATTCTCTCTGGCCATTGAAATCATCCATCCATCCCTTTGAAATTGCTCATATGTGTCTTTGGGTCCTATCTGATCATCGTTACTATGTTAAATGCATGATCTGATGTTGGCGGGATTCAAATAATTGAACAACGGGTTCTCTGCCCTAATGATTTCTTCCAACAACCAGTTCACCAAACTGCTCAGAAAGATAACAACCGGTTCTCTCAAACTGGTGCGAACTGGCTGAAGTTGTCCCTCCTGTTGTTTTGGGCTATTGATGTTTCTCGGGATAATTCCATTCTTTTAAAAGGAAAAAAAAGAAAGACCACCTTACAAAGGTGGTGCCACCAAATAAGGAGATAAAAGATTCACCCCATGGATGTTCTTGCATTATTTAGAGGGGTGCTTTAGCCAAGGAATAAGTTTAAAGTTTTTTGGGGGTGGGGGCAAGTTTCCATTGCAGATCTTTTTGAAGAGGTGGGGAACTGTATTGAAATACTACTCTGTTTTAATTGCTTTAAGTACAGAAACACACATTCATTTTGTTTCTGTCTCCGTCTCTCTCCTGCATATTCCTCTGCAAGGAAAACAAGGCCTCCCTCGAGAGTCAAGCAGTTCCCTTGATCATTTGATGGGCTGGTTTCTTGGCAACGCATTCAAGGAGCCTCCCTCTGCTTTGGGGCTAAGATGTTGTAAGGCCTTAACTGCTCTCCCTTGCAGTCCTGAGGCTACCTCTCCAAGTAATAACCTTGCCTTGGCCGGCTGGGATCAAGCCAGGTGCTGCTTTCTACTTTCTACTGCATCACAAGAGCGGCTGCTGATCTCTGTAGGCCGAAATAAGCATCGCTGACAAATCTACGCAGCGAAAGCCCTTCCCTTCCCTCCCCTCCCCTTTCAAGGCAAGCTTCCAAGAGGCAGGGACGTCACATGGAAGCAGAGACAGTCGATGGGTGGCAATCCTGAAACCAGCCCAGCTTCCTTTCCAAAGGAGAGTCAAGGATTTGCCCTCGGAGGTCAAGGGAGGTCAAAACCCACGGGGTTTCCTGGAAATCTCCTTAAAAAGAAACACCTCGGAGGCTCATTTTGGCACCGTGACTTCTTTGTCCCGTTCTAGAGAGGTGTGGGGGCAATTCGTGTTTGTTTCGCCAACCGGGTTTTGTTTGCATCTGTTCAAAACACAACATTCTTGATTTGGAGGGTGAAGAGAGAAGCCAAAGTTCTCTGGCAGCTAAAATCTGTATCTGGAGCTGCTCTTCTGTAATTAGTTTGCAGGGAATTGTGACATGGTCACAAACGTTGGGTGTTTACGGAAATGGACTTGGGGGTGGTGGGGGTGGTGGCATCAATTAAAATTTTAGGAGGGGGCTTCAGGCAGATGCCTCAAAGAGCTTCGGATTTGGGAGCGTGTCCTAGGGCACATTTTGGGCTCACAAGCCTTACCTGCCCAGGTAGTTTCAGGGGCTGCCTATAACCTCACTTCAGGTTGGTGTTTTTGTTTGCTTTCAGAGGCTCAGTTCAGAAAAGGAACAGAATTGAACAAAAGTCCAGGCCTACTTTGTTGGAAAAGTTAACAAAACTTTATTTTTTGTTCAAGCAAAGGCATTCTTTTTTTTTCTTTGCTCTTTTTCCTCCCCAGCAGAAGTCATTCTGCCTACATTCCAGAAGGAAGATAGAAGTTTTCAAGGGCTGTTCCCATTATGGGTTGCATTCCGTTCTCCTTTGAAACCAGGAATGTAATTGTCTGGTATTCAAGTCTGTAAGTTTAACCCTTTCTGTGCTGACACTGGCAGACTGAAAGAGGGTGCAATTATTTGGGCATGAATGCCAAGCCAGAAAGATTTTGAAAGGGCGCCACCCTGCAGTGAATAACTCTACAAAGTCTGTTGCCTCTTTCTTGGATCTTATAAAAATCTGATTCAGACTTTTTGGGCTCTTGCCAGTAGTTCTCACTACTTGGTTGGTTGTTGTTACTGTTGTTATGTTCTTTATCACCATTATTTTTAGGGGACCGAAGGCTAAAACATACGAAGAACGGGTTGCTGGAATTGGGTAGGTTTAATGAAAAGAAGGATTGCTTTCTTGATGGAATGGTTGTTGTGAAAGGACATCAGCCGAATGGATAAGGGAAAGAGACACGTCAGCATCGCGAAGCAACTTCAACAATGTTTGTGATTGTCTTGTGTCTCGTTCAGAACGGCGACGGGACCATTGATTTTCGAGAATATGTGATTGGCTTGTCAGTCCTGTGCAATCCTGCCAACACGGAGCAGACGATTCAGATGGCATTTCAGGTAAATCCTCTTCACTGAGGACTCAAGGTGTGCTGCAGCACGGATCTGCAATTCCAGGTAGGGCGTATCTGTGGGTGGAGAGATTTAGTGCAGAGCCTGGCACATCAACCTGGGAATCATTGGAGGAGGACAGTCTTGTTAGTCTCTGGTCTCCAAACTTGGCAACTTTTAAGACTTGTGCACTTCAACTCTCAGAATGGTTGGCTGGGGAATTCTGGGAGTTGAAGTCTACAAGTCTTAAAAGTTGCCAAGTTTGGATATTCCTTGATCTACGGCACTCTAAATGGGACGATGGCATCCTTTTAGACTAACAAGTCTAAATTTTCATGATCAAGAGCTCATCATGGGAAAGCTTCACAAAATTGCGGGCCATATATTTATTTACTTCCTTTCTCCTATGGGTGGTCTGTGTTTTTTTTTCACCATCTCGGATCCTCTACAAGAATCCTGGAAATTGGATGGTTGTATATTGTATATTGTATCTTAGCTGTTCCTAGCCCTGCACTCTTCTGGACAGAGAGCTCTGAAGTTGATCCTGGGATCTATTGGATCCACTCTCTCGGCTTAAGAGACACGGTCCTGAGTGCTCCTACCACCTGGGAACCAAACTGGCCTTGATTTTTCCAGATCTTCTTTAGTTCCCCCTTCAGGCCCTGATCTTTCTCCAACTCCTCCTCCTCCTCCTCCTCCTCCTCCCTCCTCCTCCTCCTCCTGTCACTTGGCACTGCTACATCTCTTACTCCTCCGGCCTTCTGATCTGAAATCAGGTGCTCTTCCTGATGGGGAAGCCATGATTTGGGTGATATTAGGTGTTCTTTTGAGAATGGGACTACATGCAGGGGTGGTTCTCTTCCTGATTGCTGGGTGGGCATGGTCACGGTGGGCGTGGCCTAGTCGGCCTCTTGCACATGGTGTGTGTGTGTGGGGGGGGGGTGTTTTTGCCCTTCCCGGACTCCCGAGGTTTCCTCGAGCCTCCAAGAGGGTGAAAATAGCACCCCCAGTCTCTGGAGGCTCTCTGGAAGCCAGAAACAGGCCCATTTCCGGCCTTCCTGAACTTCCGGGGGGCTCATTTTTCACCCTCCTTGAGCCTCCGTGCATGCCCTGCCATTATCTGCATCCAAAACAGGCTGTGTGGGGACTCCTGGGAGGGGAGGGGTGGGCAGGGCCAGCCAGGAGTGGGATTTGAGGGTTCTCCAAGCTGCACAGATTCTTAGCCAGGGTTTCTCCTGAACCCACACGAACCCCCAGCAGCTCACCTCCTGACTACGTGGTTCTAAAGTAGCGAGAAGTTCATAACAGAGAAGTTGGTTCTTATGGGAACTAAGTCTTCTACCACTTCAAGATGAAAAGCAGAGCCTTCAAAAGGGGTGGACAGAATGCCAATCCTCGGATGGCTTTAAAAGAAATCTGGGAAGGGTTTTCCATGCATCCAAAGGTTGATGTGGAGATGTCTGGGAGCTGAGCTTTGTCCTCCTTCCTGACCAACCCTCTTTGTTTACAGCTTTTCGATATTGATGAAGATGGCAGCATAACAGAAGACGAATTTGCCCTGATTCTCCGTTCATCACTTGGGCTTCCTGACCTCGATGTTTCAAACCTCTTCAAGGAGATTGACGCTGACAAATCTAACAAGCTCTCCTATGGTAAAGCAGCCAAGTAGGGAATTAAGGAAGTGAAGATTTGAGGGGTGCAGTTGGGAGGAGACTTTGGGGGTGTCATGGAATGGAATGTGGGAAGGAACTTAGGAGATGGGACGAAGAGATGCTGCCAAGGGAACAATCAGATAACAGAATAACAGTTGGAAGGGACCTTGGAAGTCTTCTCATCTAAGCAGGAGACCCTGTGCCATTTCAGGAAAATGGTTGTCCAATTCTCTTCTCAAAAACCTCCAGTGATGAAGCACCTACAACTTCTGGAGGATAGTCATTCCACTGATGAATTGTTCTAACTGTCAGGAAATTTCTCCTTAGTTCTAGA